GAGCACCTTTTTGCACAGAGCAATTGACTTCAATAGCTCTTCTGATCCAAATATTCCCTATCAGTTCTGCAGTGGAAAGTGCTGGAATGAAAAAAAATCAATTTTGGAAATACACAAATACTGCGAAACAAAGTAAATTTTTTTCTGGAAGAAATGCTTGTTTAGGAAATTTTTCTAGGCAATTTTCCTGCAACAAGTGAACTCAAAGAGTTTGATCATACAGTCTCATTTGGTCAATGACACAACTCAAGCCTAGTGCCTGGTGTCCTTGCAGTGCCCAGTCCTGCTCTGAGCAGGAGGTTGCACTAGATGATCCACTCTCCGCTCTTCCCAACCTGTATTATTATCCTGTAAACACGCATCTTACAAACCTATGCACTATTTGGCTCAACAATTTGAAGAATAAAGACAAAGAACAAACAGTTAAGAGTTGGCCAACGGCTGTTTTGAAACAAAGAGAACTAAACAGCACAAAATGTGTAACTGTGAGCTACGTGGGGAGCTAAGAGGAAATAGACGTTTAGGTTTACAGTTTTAAAACTGTTTCAGCAGTGAATATGTGTGAGCTGCATGTGTTGAAGAAGCAGAGAGTAAAAGGGAAGTTTGCAATTCCCAGGACACGAGGTCAGTTTTTTATTTATAGCAACATATTTTCCAGACTCCTGAGCATTGACATTAGCAGCCACACTGATGTTCTCTGAATGAAGGAAGGAAATTCAGGTGGAAAGCAGAAAAACTATCAGTACTTCTGACTGCATTTTATTTTCAGTATGGGTTAGGCTAAAATAGTCTTTGGTTTTTGTCATTTGTACTGTCATATGTATACACAGAAAATTGAGACTTTACCTAGAGGCAATCTAACATGTTTAATATTTTTCTTCCTGATTTTAATTATGTCATGGTTTGGGCCAAACTGGCCATTGAAATGAACAACAGAGGCTCTCCCCCACCTCTCTCCAGGAAGAGGAGGGAGAGAGAGAGAGAAAGAGACTTCAGAGTTTAAAAAAAAGCTAAACTAATGAAATACTAATAATGAAATAAAAAAACAATAATGAAATATATACAATATATACAAAACCTTATCGAGCTCTCAGGGTGACGATCACATCACCAACAGGCACTGGGAAAAGTCCCAGACAGGACTCAGTGATGGACGGGAACTGGAATCCAGCTCTGGAGTCAGGAACGCCTGGATCAGGATCAAAGGCAGACAAACAGACAGTCCTCCTTGGACCTGGCCATTGAGGAAAGAGACTGACCCCTTTGATCCCTCAGCTTTTATACTGAGCATGGGGCAGAGGGGATGGAACACCCTGTTGGTCTGTCTTTGGGTTGGTTGTCCTGTCTGATCCTCCCTGAAGGTGCGACCCCTCTAGGCTTTTCCTCTTCCGACACTCCAACAGGGCAAATAGCAACGTGAGCTGACCTTGGTTGTTAATAGCAATAAGTATAAGCAAGAGCCTCTCTGCAGACCCTTCCTTGGCATAAATGAGAAACTATCAGGTCGTATCGCTCTGGTAGTGAACACTGTCTTAAAAATATGGCATAAATTTTCATGGAATTCAGTTAGTTAGAAGAGGCTTAACTGAAAAGTAAAATTTTTGAACAGAAAATTGATTCTGTTTTACCTCAAGCCATGGCAAATTATAACACACGCATGTTTTCGGCTTTGGGAATCTGTTCGTTCCTGAGTGGGTGTTACTACTCTCCAGCATTGACCAGTACTGGTTGAAGACGTTGATGCCCTCATTAAAATGCTGCTGCCTCTATAATTCTGCTCGATGAAAGAGCTGTGAGTATGTTTCTGAATCCATTTTGGGCAAAGCCACCAAAGCTAATTTACAAGTGTTGATTTGAAGACTCTTTAAGATAAATGATCTCATCTACATTCATGGATTTTTAAAAAATAATTCATGGACCTTCATGTAACTGCAGACCAGAGACTTGTGCACAATTTTTCTCAGGGAAGCGGTAATGGTGATAGCAGGTGTGTAATTTATTTCTGTCTTTGGAAAGGTTATCGGAGAATCATTAAGCCTGATAGGTAAGTAGGTGAGGGAACAAAGGAACAATTGTTTCTGTCACCCCCTCGGTGGCTTGTGACCCATTAACAGAGACACCAGTCTAGAAAGACACATCAGAACCATTAGCAGGGGATTGTGGAGAAAACACAACAGTAAATTCATGCCAAATGTGAACAGGTGCTGGGGCAGAATGTTTCCACTGGATTCCAGACAGCTTGATCGATTGCTTCGAGAACCAGGTACTGCACCGTCTGAGAGGTTTTTAACACTCTTTTTAATGACAAAGTTATAAATATTAACGTCAACACAGCTGAGCTTGACTGACATCCAATGAGAAGCTTCTAACTAGTGAGTTTATTCCAGAGTCTCAGTCTGTCTTTCTGAAAACAGTGGTCCTCAGCCATCCTCTCTACAGACAGTTGGGTTTTTCTCAGTGGCAGTGTGCATTTAGGCTTCTAAATCCCAAAACCTACAACAAATGGAGGTTTGATGACAGAAAAATTAATTGGTTGGTGATCAGTCCACTCATTTTTCACGAGCTCATTAAATTTCTCTGTGTTTGAAGTTACCTAAAGCCATGGTGGCATTTCAAAACTGGAAGCATTATGGAAAACTGTGTCTGGATATTGCTTTTGTGAGAAGAAAGTAGCTTGGATAACCTTGAAAACAGTCCTAATTTATGAGGTTTGTTATAATCTGAGAAATACACATTTTTCTCTTTCTGGAGCTGCAGGGAGCATCATTGAATTATTGTGGTACTGGCTGTGAATTATTGTCACATTAAGTTACTTTTGTGCCACAACTTTAAGTTAGTTTTATGAATTGGACCTTTGTTATTTAGGAGGCCAGCACGGGAAGCACTGGGGCTGTCGTTAGTCTTGCTCATCCGTATTTTACTGTGGCTGTTAGGAAGGCAACGTTCCAGCCAGTCATAAAGGGCTGCGATTTCCACGCTCACAGACCTCATTCTTCATCACAACTGCCTTGATCTAGACCCCAGTGTCAGTCCCAGTTGTAGAAGAGGTCGCTGAAAAGCCAATGGCCATCAGCTGTGCTGATTGGGTTAGATTGGTTATCCACTGCAGGTGTGTTTATGGAATAAAGAGATAATAAAAATACATATTAAGACAAGTGAGCTTTGAAATGGCTGTGGCCTTCACCCTGTGTGAAGTATATTTCCTGTGGGATAGCTCTACGAAAATCGGTGTCTGAACAGGTGAGATGGTCAAAGCACACTGCTTTATAGCAGCTGAGGTGGGAGCTGCTAGTTTTGTTCTAACCAGAGAAGGCATTTGATCCAGAATGGTTCACCAATGGTTCACCGTTCCCCTTTTCTCTTTGCTACGAGTAAGTAAAGCCCCCCTAAACCCTTCGTTTCTGTGGCACAGAGAGCTTCTGACAGACACGCAGCCCTTGATTGAGAACTGACCTTTCTAAGGCACCACCTGCTGCTTCACAAACCATTCTGTGTGTGTGTTCTCCAGCAGTGTGTGCCACAGGGATGTCACAAACAGCAGCGGGGCAGAGAGCAAGGGAAGCAGGAGACCGGTCCTTCGGAAAGCTGCCCAAGAGGGGAGGGGGAAGTTCTGCTCAGGCTGGGAGCCACCTTTGCAGCGAGTCCGAGGGGACTGAACCCAGTCAGACATGGCTCCTTAGCGGGTGGCCAGTGCTGGAACTGCTGTGCCTGGAGACAGACTGGCTGGGTGTGCTGGCACTTCCAACAGGAAGCCACAGGGGACCCAACCTTGCAGTGTCTGTGGATGATGCCACCCACCGAGAGCCACACGGAGCTCTGGAGCGTGAACACCATCCCTGGCCAGATCCCTGCAAGGAGCAGCTGCCGCCTCCCACGCCAGGCCGAGCAGCGGGGCCTTCGCTGTAGCTGAGCACAGGCAGGGCCCAAGCCAACACGGGGCTGGCAACGATTCTGTGGACTATTTCAAAAATGCGTTTTTTGGAGTTTGAAATTCCTTTTATTCTCCTGCAGAACAAATTGGTGGCAGAAAGTACGACCGTCAGGAACATCTTCAAACGTTACAATGGTCTGGCATCCTGGTCAGCAAGCTGGGAGATGGCCATGCAGCACGTAGCTCAGAAAAACAGGCTTTAGCAAAGTTGTCATGTGTCCAGTTAAATGCGTGCATGCTCCGTGGCACGCCGGCATGGAGAAGCAGGGAGGAAGCTTGCTTTTGAGTAGGGAATCAAGGCTCTCACCCAGGCATTTGAGAGGAAGCAAATGATCATCAGCTGTACACAGCCAGCATGAAAGCTGCTTCTGGCACCACTGTGAAGGCGAAAGAGAGCTCTCCTTCCTCAAGTAACGCCCTGTGTGACACTCACTGCAGAGGATGGACATGAAAGTCACTGCTCTGAAAAGCTCGGTGCTCCATTCCATTTCCTGGGGAACACACAGAAGCGTTACTGGCTACAAACCGTTGCTCTCTGCTAAAAGGCAGCGCGCTCTCCCTCAGCACAGGAGCATAAATTGGTCTTGGTTTTGTTCAGCCGTGAAAAATAAACTTTTGGGTCAGTCACAGCGTTACAGCCCCTGACACTTTAGATGACAACAAACAAATTAACAAGTCAGTGTTATTCATCTCATTAACGGTATGATATCGAAGTTACTCTGTGGGGTTTCTTTTGGAGGGTATTAAACGCTAAAAAAGATTGAAAAATCTTTGGAAACTGTTCTGTGTATCAAAGGTGTAACTTTACCTTAAAACATGAGAACTTGGGAGAGAGCGTCAGCTCCCTCATTTGATTAATGCTCTTTGCTCCCACTGATGGAGCCTACAGGATCTGTGGAAACACCGTGAATAATTTGGTTTATGGAAGCTGCTCCTCTACATTAGCATCATTGTAACATGAAACAGAACAACTTTTATTTTACATTTGACCGTTTTTTTGTGCCATTGTTTAAATTCTGAGGTAATTCTTCATAGCAGTCAAAACTGATGGGTCTTGCCTATTTCACAGGTCGATGCAGAAGGAACGCAGGAGGATGTTTTTCTGGAAATCTGCAAGACAATGGACTCTTTTCTGAAAAAGGAAGAGGCAGCCTTTTCTTTTCCAGCAGAACCGCAGTAACGGTGTGTTCCAGCCTCACCCCACGTGCACTCGGCAGCCACGATGGCGACGCTGCTCACAGCAATACCGCTTGCTCGAGAGGCGCCTGGAATTTGTGCATGTGGTATGTTATTTTAGATGAAACCTTTTTTTTTTTTTTTTTTTTTTTTCTTTTCCTCTGTTCTGACAACGCACGGGGTAGGAAGTGGTCTGTGTGCTGACTCCACACTGAGAACTCTCTGGTGTTTCCCTGGTTGGTTGCTCTTCCCGGGTTAAAAGCGGCGTCGGTGACCAACAGCTCTGGGTTGTGTCCCGTGGTCTCACCCAACCGATGGGAAGTCAGACAGCGCCCGGCCAGCAGCCAGCTCCTCAGCCCCATCACTCGCCATCTCGCATGTTACGATGACTGCACACAAGTCTCCCACTGGTTATTAGTTTCTTTTAATTAACAGTATTAATTTCTGCGGTATCACTTAGCTTGTTCTTGGGTTTTAGCGACTAAAATCTGTTCTCTGTTACACACAGCTGTGGAACAGCTGGAATTAGCCAAGCTAGAAGTTAAAATAAACTTTTCCCGTGTCCCCAGCACACTATTGTAACCAGAATAATGAATTGAAGATAAGGTTGAATACTGTGGCAGTCTGTCAGTCCACCCCGGGGGAGCAGACACCATTGCTGAGACAGCCTTGTCTTCTGCTGGGAACTGTAGGCTATTATGAATGACGACTTCCCAGGTCTGTGAGCTGAGGTGAAAAGAATGATTGTCTTGTACAGTTAAACGTGCAATCCAGTGATTGTCCATATTAACAGCAGTTTTACTATATTAATTAAGGTCTATATTTAAAGTTGACTATGAGCCAGAATGTATGAAGATGTCTTTAAGTCATACTTTGCAAGTATTTCAAATGCAAAATTCAGATCATCGTCTGTTGTCTTGTAGGGGCATTGCCAAAACTTTTTTTTTGGGGGGAAAAAAAAGGAAAAAAAAAAAAAAGGAAAACGTTGATTCCTATTGCTTGCATCTTTAGTAAGCCATTTATTTATATCTGTCATATCTGCAAAAAAGTTTGTAAAGATCATACCATATTTCCATTAAGTTAACCAAAATGTTGTGGAGTTTCTTTGGTATTCTGATAGCTAAATAAAAGCTTGTTTGACATTCCTGTAAAGTAACTGCATCCTTGTACTGGAGCTACTGGATGAATTCACAGTCGAAGTGGGTTGCATGATTGCTCTTACTGTCAAAGTTGTACTTTCCGCGGCAGATTTGTATTTTTAAAGTTCCCTTTCTTGTAATGAAGACATAATACAAATAAAACACGTACAAAAATGAGGAGTAACGATTTCTGTTACAGCATATGTGGGTTTAACCCTTTTCAAAGCGCAGTACATGGCTCGGAAACGCAGCTCAGTCACACGCTTACGCAGTGCGGCCTTTCGCCAGTCAGGGCACATTCTTCTATGCTTTTTTAATTCCTGCAAATGCTAATTCAATTATTTTGTAAGGGACTGGTTTAGGTACCTTCTTATCCTTCATATCCTGGACGTTCCTTCTTTCCCGGGTCCTTTTACAGCCTACATTTTACCTCTGATGCTCTGGGAAGTGCTTCTCCAGCTCCAGACCAGCGCCATTAAGCGCCCGGTGACGTCTGCAGCGCAACAGCTTTAAGCCAGAGACTTTCATAACCCATCAGCTCCAGAAGGTGGGTTTTTCTAACCCCAGCCCTGAAGCACTAGTGGCTGCCTGGGGTGGTATTGGGAAAAAAAAAAAAAAAGAAAGTAAAATATTCTGGAGTTACCATGAAGTTGCAAATTCACCTGGGTAGGTTTTCTGGAGTATTTTTTATTACTTCTAATTACAACATAAGTTAAAAAGTGTGGAGCATCATACTTGTGTGGGATGGGAACAAAGGCAACAATCAGCTGCTTGGTTTTTTCTTTTTTTTTTTTTTTTTAAATTAAATTACAAAAATTATATAACATACAGTTTCAGTTTAATTTTTCTTTCGGCTGCTTCTGGTCTTTTCTGTGGAACAAAGCAAAAAACCTCCCATGCTTGATCGGGTGTATGTGCATTAGATATCTATTTGCATATGTTCATAATATATGCAAGAGGACTAGCTGTATATGCATGCATATGGAAATATAAATATTTATACATATTCAATAAAAAGAGGACTTAACCGAGACACTTCTCTCTTGGGTGATTCAGACTTGAAATTCTCCTTCTGCTTCCAATCTCATTCAAATTATACCGTGGCTTTTTGCTCTTCCCAAGCCTATCCATCCTAAACTGATGACGGAATATTTGCACTTAATCAGATTTTCACTAATTTGCTTTCATTATTTCCTTCTAGTAGTTTTTTCAGGATATCAACAGTAAACAAAGATTACCACAGATTCTCTCCCTGATAATACACCTTCCCCAACTCTGGCTTCCTACAAAGAGCATGAATGACGTGGAAAGCACATTTTTTATTGTATTAGAGAGCCTCTCAGAGCAGTATCTTCTCCAATTAAAACCTAAAATACATCATGTGAATTTTTGTATTTTTTTAAGGTTTATTAGTTTTATCTAAAGTAGACTAGGTATGTGAGATATGTTTCCGTAGGATACTTGCTCAGTGTTTTAGTAACTGTACTGCATCACCTTCTAAATAGATTAAATGCTTAGAATTCTTTTTTTTCTGAAGCAAAAAATAACTACACCTGAAGTTATTGCAAAACTTAATACTGATCAGTTTCTAATTAAAGTTGTTAGGTGCAGCCAGCCAATTCTCCTTCTTATTGCCATCTTTTAAAGTCAAGTAAGTTTCTATTCTAGCTAATTACTCTGAGTATTCAAGTTTCAAAGCGACTGGAAGTCTGTTACAGTTATAAAATAATCAAGTGTTTCTGAACCACAAGCTATACATTTCAATAGAAAATATATTAACTAAAATATCTCACAGTAATTACAAAGCTCGTCAGACAACGGTGTACAGTGCACCAAGGCTACTGAGATCTGAATTCTCTGCAGGCTGAAAAAAGAACAGTCTGTGAGGAAGGTGTGAGCAAACGGAGCTGCTAAAGGTGAAGCTGGTTTTAGCAGGCGCAGGGCCCCGTCAGCTCCCAGGGAGTTCCCAGCGGAGGCGGGCGCTGGGCGAGAGTCTCGCAGGGCTGCGCAGGGAGCGTTTGTGTGACGGGTTAAAACCTCCTGGTCATGTTTGTCCAGCTTGATTAAAAAGTCAGAACTACACAGAAAGGAAGTCACGGCAAGCATTCTATATATAAACAGACTGGATCCACATAGTTTATTTCTCACAGTTCTCCTGACAATTGAACATTATTAAGAACATACTGTATACACAGATAAGAAGAAACATACAAAATGTTTTAAATGATGCACAACAAAATCCAGCAGTATAAAAGAATGCATGTGAACCCTTGCTCACTGCTCAGGCTAAATTTAATCACTGTTTAAATAGTAATAAAAATACAATCTTTCATGGATCTTGTGCAGACTACAAAAGAGGAAAAATTATTACCATATATATGATTTATATTAGGCAGTTTTCTTTGATGAGTTGCACTAACAACTCCAAATACAGAGGCAGAAGGCTGTGTATTTTATTTTAAAGGAGTTAATGTTGAGTATTAGAGACTTTACACAGTTACTACCACTGGCACTTTTCACCATATTTTGTACACATCACATGATCATCTTATATAACATTACATTTAAAAAATATATCTGAGTGACAATTTTATAACATTCACACACCATGAGCTGGTTAAGGAAGCAATGCCACAGTTGCCCCCTGTAGTGCTTCACTGTTGGTAAATAGAGTTCATCGTGGTTTTTAAAAAAAAAAAAATTAAAAAAATTGAAAGTCAATGTGATTAAGCAGCTCCGATTTAATAAAGGCCTGTAACCAACCATCGCTGAGACAGTGAGTATTTTTTTAGAATACATCCTAGAAGCAAACACTGTCATTGGTTAAAACCTTGCCTAAAGAAGTCAGTTACTGTGCTGAAAACTATTTCACAACAAAACTGCAAGCTACTAAACTGTTTTTATATAAATACTTCATCTCCTCTGGATCTCATTATAACCAAGTTCTTCAAAGCCTTTGGAATTTACTCTATCTTTAATGTGTGCTCTCATTTCTGGCTCACCCTTTTGTATGTTTTTCTTTTGTGTTTAGATTCACCACCTAAAAACGACTAATGTGGTGAAAGAAAAGTCTCCCAGTGAAACCTTCCGCACACTAGGAATGTTCAGCTGCTGTTCAGTGATCTAGAACCATGACAGCTCAAAGCTGTAGTTTGACAAGTACACCCAGGAAGCTGTCATGCTGTGAGCGACATTTCAGGGAAAGCAGAGTCTTTCCAAAATGTGCACAGAATTAACAATGGTGCCATTGTTATTTTTCAAAGAGGATATAAGCCCAAGATGGTAGATCTGCTTCCCATGTCATCTATTTGCTGGAAAGTAGTTTGGGTCAAGATAATTGTAACTGGTGCCCTGGGACATGCAGTAGTCTCTGTCTAAAAATGTCTCTGCTCTGTAAATAGGTTCTAACTGATGATCTTCCTTATGAATCTCTGTTTCATGCAGACTGCAAGGGAAAGAAAAAGATAACAGTTTAAAAGTCAAATATTTTTCTTCTCTTCAACTTTCATAAACAGCGATCATATTAACAGATTCACATCAAATTTGATACAATTAATTCATAAAATGTAATTTCCCCCACTGTTTGACAGTACCAAATTTATCTGTCCTCTGTATTAAGAAAAAAAATAAATTATACACCCATTATATGCTTACAAAATATATCTCCCACAAATATATGCTAAGGTATCTTCCACTTCACCCAACACAGGAGATTTGTTCTATGCTGGAGCAAAGACTTCCAACATACACAGCAATTAAGCCACACCGCGATATTCAAGCTAATTACAGCTAACGAGTAGAAGCGTATGCTGCTCACCAGTCAGAACAAGAATCACAGAAATCCAAGGACATTTCTTGAGGGCAGTCTTGGCAGTGCCACCGAACGCCCTGGATAGGTTCAATTCCGCAGTTATCACACTGTGAAGCAGATGGACAAGCATTGAAAAACCAGCAGCTGCCATCACTGAGGTCAGTGACAGCACACACCAACACACCACACACACAGAAAGGCAGGTACCAGCCCACACGGCTGAATCCTCATCACAGACCATCGTGTGATGGTTTATGGATAAAGACCATGGATAAAGAAGTCCTCATACTGCAGAGAGGCCCTCCCAGAGCCCTCAGGATTGATTAATCTCTTTCTTGCTTTCCGTCCCACTCCCCAAATGCTCCATGTGGACACTGTCCTCCTGCTCACCAAAAGCAGACCCCATCCTGCCTGCGGTCACTGCTCACCCTCACATGGCTATTTAAGAACTGCTGTGATACAATACATGAACGTGATGTTTCTGTCTATAGCTTAACTCCAACCATGAGAAATGTCTGCCTATAGATTCACTTTCCACAGCAGAAGAAAGCAGTGAGACTAGACCAGGAGAGCCATTGGGAGACTGTTGATGGGCTGCAGATCAGGGCACAACAGTTCAGACTGATTCACTTTCGAATTCACATCATAGGTGGGCTGGAATGAAAAGCCAGGCAGCTGGGAAGGAAGTGGGACACCATACCCAGGGAGGGGAACACAAGGCTAAAACTAAAGCTGAGCAAGAAAACAAAAACTAATCCCCTGAGAAGAATCGGGGACAACACAACAGCAGCATGAAGAGGAGGAAACGAAGTGCAAACGAAGCATCAAGACCAGATAAAAAATTCACAATGGTAGAGAAGAGGGGCAAAAATATTTGATACAAAAAGGAAAACTGGAAAATACAATGTGGAGGCAAGGAGAATGTTTCAAAAATCTCAACTTTGAAGAGTGTTGCAGAGACAGGATTGAAAAGGAGAAAGAAATGTGGGAAACAAGCCCGTGCTCCAATAGCTCATCCTCCTTCAGAACCTGAAATTCTCTCACAGCATCTGTGAAACCCACTCACAGGGCAGGATCACAAAATCCACCCAGTGTTACAAAAACTTTACACCTTACAAATTCGTATCCCTTCCTTCCACAGGGGGCTGTCAGAGATTGAAGGCTGATAATGAGGACAGACTGAGCATTCTTAGAGATGTTCTCTGAAAACATCAAGTTTAGTATAATGCTAAATACTTTAAAAAAATAAAAAATAAAAATTGGTTCCAGTTATCTCAATTTGAGAACTGAGATGGTGGAAACCCTTGACCTTAATTTCTGTGCTCCAGCTTCCCTCTCTTTCCCCTCTGAAACAAGAATAATACCATGCCTTTCGTTTCCTTAAAAAAAAAAAGTATTTGCAAAGTGCTGTGATATTATAGCAATGAAAGCCATAAAAGGCCCATGAGGGATTCAATAATTCAATATTCAAAGTAGAGTTTGAATAATGCATAGTAACTGAGGCTGAAGGCCATGCAGAACCAAAACTGTTCTGAATGACTGCTTATTAGGCGGGCTCCGTCCAGCCCGTGCACCGAGCAAGGCAGCGCTCCTGAGGGAAAATAGTATATAATTATGTAATTTCATAGCTTACTATAATGCATAATAAAATCACATTCAGATTGCAGAGAAACTTTTGAACTTGGAATGCTTGACACTGCATTACGCCAATTTCCTTTTCAGAGTAATTTTATGTAGAAAAAGCAACTAGTTCGTTGCCTAGAAATTTTGAATTTTGGGGAAGAAAATGCTAACTTAAAAACAAAACCAAAGTCAAAAAACCCCAAACCAAACACACCAGG